TAGTTATGTCATTAATAATTATGTAAAATATCCATCTCTCTCTCTCTCTCGAATAATCAATATAAAAGTAACATATACCATATGCGAGGTTATACAAATAAATACACAATTATAGTATAGCACAAAACAATTTACGCAAACAGAATATTCTGTCTTAGAATTTAATTATAATATAAAGATAAGAAAAATATATATGAGAAAAATTTTAGATTAAACAAATAATACAGAAAGTTGCTGAATAAATGCATAATAAGAATTTTTGAATTACTATGTTAGAATAAACTAAATTTGATTATGATTATTGCTATATTGCGTGCTTGAGATAGATTGATTTAAATGTAAATTTATATTGATAAAAAATATAACTCAATAGAAAATGAATTGAATTGTTTTTTGTAATGTTTTCATCAAAATGTAATTTTGAGAGAGAGAGAGAGATGGATATTTTACATAATTATTAATGACATAACTAGCTATTTTATAGATATATTTTACACAATAATTATTATTTAATGACCATATCTAACTTACTACTACATATTCTTATAAATGCAACATTCTTATTTAACAAAACACGTTAATCACAAATTAGTAATTTAAAACTAGTTCATAAACAAATAATTTCTACCCTAATAAAATTAATTCAAAAAACATTAACCTCTATTTTACCATGTACAAAACAGTGGGACGAAGACAAAACATACCGGTACATCCGAATCGTGCCCAAACCAAACGGGCCTAAAAACCTGATCCAATTCCGTCATGGTAACATGCCGTACGAGGGCCGAGTGTGGCCCGACCTGGTCAAACAGATGGACGATTTCGTGCACCAGTACAACCCCGAAGTATACCTGCGCAATCATAATATCACCGAGTGCATCACGGGCCAGGAGCGTACGGAGCAAGCACGTCAGGCTAACCAGTGTCTGTTTGACATACGTATGATTTCTGAACAATGTCGTTCAGGTGATTATGGTTACGCCACTGGCCAGCCCTGTGTGTTCATACAGTTTAATAATATTACCGGTTGGAAACCAGACCTGTACACCATGAATGATATTGGTCCCCGTAGTAATACTACCCTACCGGCTAATTTGCAGCAATTTATCCGTGGTAATAATAATCGTATGGTGTTCATCGAGTGTAAAGGTGCGTGGTGTTATTTACTAGATGTGTGTTGTATATATTTTAGGTGTAGTTGTAATTTGTTGCTGCAATTAATGATGATGTGTTTTGTTAGAAATATATCAAATAGTTTAGTAAATTAGCTGGTTGCTCTAATTTGTGTATTTTTCGTATTCAAGTTAAATCAATAAAATGTCGCAATGTATATAAATATGATTAATGTGTTGCATTCATAAATAAAAAAAGAAGTTAGGTGATTTTAAATTTAGTTGCGGTAATATTTACCATTTAAATATACAGTATTTATAGTGAAAATGTAATTTTGTTTGCAAATTAAATTTATTGTTAAAGAAATATCGTTTTCAATATAAAATTGAATGCAGGAATGTTTTGAATAAATTTTAAAATGAATTTCCCATTCAATCGCAACAGGAATTTAAATATTTTTATTTATAAATTATTATACTTTTATATAATATAAAGAATTTGTATACAAATAGATATATTACAGCAATTGAAAAACGAGTTTCTATAGAATATTCTGTTTATTCAAAAAAAAAATCTTATAATTTTAAATGAAATTCTTAAAAAATATTTTTATCAATTTTTACATTCGTGCAATTTTCTTATCCTACGGTCAGACAATAAATATTGTTAATATTGTATTGTATTATTATATATATTTTACAATATTATCATGGGTTTCAATACATTTAAATATACTATACTTGCATTTATTTAAACAGATAAAATAATTTTATTTTCCCTATTGATCCGTTTGAAACATCTTATGGTCTCTCTCTCTCTCTCTCTCTCTCTCTCTCTCTCTCTCGTAACAGTTGGAAATAGTGGTCCAAAAATATAAGGCTATACGAAACTGTTGCTAAGCGCTGATAGTTTAACCAATATATAATTTGTGAAGCAATATATATACAGTTGAGTTTTGTGCATCTGAAGCCAGCAATCCATCTATATAATTTATCCCTTAACATTATACAGTGAACTATATATAGAATCTATCGAAATGTGTGTTTGTATGTATAGCTAGTGTAAAAATCTCGGATCAATTAATTTATTTTCACGTTATATACAAGGGTTTAGCTTTTATTTTTGCTTTTGTTATAATTGGTTGCAAAATAAATCCTCTATGTCTTAATCAAAAATATATATCAATTACTGCGTCCATTTGTGTGAGTTATTGTTTATTATATCGAGTGTAGAATGTATTATTAATTGTTTTATTGTTTTTATTCTATATAGTAATCAATACAAAAATAGCCTTATATTTATTTGCTAAACAAAAAACAAATTTAATTTATAATATAATTTCGTTGCAATACTTCCATAATATTCTGTTTAATATTCTTATTATAGTAACAAAAAATAATAATACAATATTCTGTATACTAGTATACAAACTCATTATCATTCTTATTATAAAATACAAAATACACAGAATATTCTATAATTAACATAAACCCAATAAAATGACTAACCTAGCTCATACACATATTAAGAGCAATATAAATTTATTTTGTACAGTCTATAATACTATACTAATTACCATATATCATTTACATCACCTAGGCAACACGATCGTGGACCAGGAGAACATGGGCCAAATCGAGTACACACCGACCCAGGGTTTTCCCGTATACTACTTCCCATACGACGGGCACCCGGACTATATGCCCCCATTGGTGGCCATACGGTTCCGATCGCCGGCCACATCCATAGCCATCGGTATCACGTGTCGACTGTACGCCAAAAATCTCAACCACACCGACAACTTCGATGAGATGGTAGAGCCCGTGCCGGCCCTACCCTTCAACATATTCATTGAATAACACACAATGCAGTTGTGCTAAACATATGTATATTTTACACATTGATATACATATGATAGGGTGTCGGACGCGCCGGTAGTCGACACATACCTACGCTAAACACATGCGACTACCGGTGCGGACACTTATGTATACATAAGCGATATATTACTGTACGATAATTAAAAATTAATATAATATATAATATTAGGACAACTCTTATGGACATAAATGACTAGTCAATGAAGATATTGTGTGCGTTTTTTGAAAGCATTGATGTAAATGCTATTAAATTTCATTTATAATTAACTACGGTATAATTATTTAATTGCCTTTTTAACAAATAGACATTTGTCTGTATTTGTGGGGACAGTATTTTACCGACATGTTTTTTTTGTAAAGTGCTAGATCATCCTATTCATTTTAATCGATCAAAATACAAAAATATTTACATAATATTTACACGCATACATGTTTGTCAAACAAACAGTAAAATTATCCATGATGATAATAATATTTTTTTTGTAAAGTGCTAGATCATCCTATTCATTTTAATCGATCAAAATACAAAAATATTTACATAATATTTACACGCATACATGTTTGTCAAACAAACAGTAAAATTATCCCTGATGATAATAATTATTAGCTACAAGAATATTCTGTAATATATATAGTATTCAGCTATTAATTCAAGAATATTCTTCATCAATGAGTATATATTAACTATTTTTTAGTGCATTTACTATACATACACATGATTCAAATCATTATTACATCGTGGTATTGATTTTATTTTAAACCTGTTTATTTTTACTTGACTTTGATTTTATTATTATTATTGTTTTAATACATTGTAATTACAATATAATTTACATATTATCTGAATATATATAACTGGCTTATAATTTCCGGAGATTTACG